TCTTATAAGGGTTGGTCCTTCAGTGAAAGACTACTGATGTGATGGAAAGACCAGGGATCCAGGAAGGGCCTGATAGACGGATAACATCTGATGTGTTGCTCCCTGTTTGTAGGAGAACCATCTTGTGATTTCATTAGTCATCCTGAATCATTATAATTGATTCTTTTTTTTCCTTAAAAAGGTAGTTGTAGTTTGTATTATACTGGCATTTATTTACCTGGTTGATAGGTTTTGGATTAATCTGTATTTGAATTCTATTTCTGCTGGCTATGTTTGCATTCAGAGTATCTATGTGGTGCATTTTCATTTAAAGTTTTTATGTTTAAAGTTTCCGAATTACTAGTCATTTAAGTTTTTCTGTTAGAATAAGGTTCCTTTTGAACCCATTCTATCACAACTGAAAGGAATATTCAAGGCTATAGTCTTTAGTCATTTTCCATTTCCTTCTAGATACCGAGCCAGGAGGTCGGCTGGGGCTAGTGTGACCTCTCTTGCAGTGGCTTCTGGCTTCCTTATTGTCATCTTTTCCTTAATTTTTTCTCCTTTGGAGATTCAAAGCCAGTGATGGTAGCTTTTCTGGTTGAGCCATTTAGATAAATAGCCACGAAATGCTTGCTTGCTTTCTTCTTCTTCTTTTTTTTTTTTAAGATTTTATTTATTTATTTGAGAAAGAGAGGGAAAGAACACAAGCAGCGAGAGTGGCTGAGGCAGACTCCCCAGTTAGCAGGGAGCCTGATGCAGGGCTTGATCTCAGGACCCTGAGATCATGACCTGAGCCAAAACCAAGAGTGGGCCACTTAACCAGCTGAGCCACCTGGGCGCCCCAGCAGCTGCAACGTATTTAACTCATTGAGATCCTACATCAAATATACCATGAAAAGAAATTATCAGATTCTTGGGGAAATATGAACTCTTTATTTCATGATATTAAGGAAGATTTTACTGTTTGAGGCACATGCTGAAATATTCATGGATGACATGATATACTGTCTGAGAGTTACTTCAAAATAATTCATGGCAGGAAAGAGTGGGTTATAGATAAACAGATGGATGTAGATAGATCAGACTGTCTGTGAGTTGATGATTGTTTAAGGTCTGTGATGGATATATGGCAGTTTATTATACTCTTCTCAGTATCTTTTTAGAATTTTTCTGTAATACAAGTTTCTCTGAAAAAGTGATGTTCGGAGCTTTCCTAGGCAGCTAAATATATAGGGATCCATGTTGCAGGTGAGGTCTCCTTTAAATAGGTAATAGACTTATGTTTCGTAAAAATCAAACACAACTCTTAATATCACTTGCTAAATATAGGTGGAAACCTGTGAGAAAGATGAACCCCAAGCCCTGTTGGAAAAAACACTGCTAGCATTGCCTGGCTATGCCATCCCTGGTCTGCTCCGGTCGACAGCCCTGACATGGACCCGCCAGGGACCATGCCCGTGTGCAGATGCAACAGCATTCTGTTGGTCCTGCCTGTGCTGGACAGACAAAGCCTGTATAGAGAATACAAATCTGTCCTTCTCTTGGGGATGTAGTCTGTGTCATCCAGCAAGAACAGTGCATGAAATGCTCTAGTCATAGCGCCGTTCTAGCAAAGGGAACCTGTGGTTTTTCTCTTTCACTAAATGTTGTCTCTATTCTCTGTTCATTGAAGCCCTAGCATGGTCTTATACTGCTTTTTGGAAGTGAGACAGAATATTTTGTGAGCTGCAAAGGATGCTGTGGAGACACTAGGTGGTATGCACGGTCATTTAGTGAGTTAGTGGTCCTTGAATCAAAGTGGATCTAACACACACTGAATATCTGCTTTGTGCCAGGCACTGTGTTTAATCCTTGTGGCATTTCTTGGCAGTTGGCTCCACTTTATAGACCTTTGTGACTGAGGCTCAGGGAGGGTAAGTAACTTCCCTGAGGTCACACAGCTGGTAAGTCGTGGGACTTGATTTTAACTTAATTTGTTTCAAAAGACTTTATTTTTCTGAATTCTACATTCATAGATTTTGATATGAAAATGTTTTCCTCTAGATACATATTTCAAAGTAATATGTGGTTTTAAATGTATTTTGAAATAAGACTTGCACAGTTTTTTATTAATTAGTATGCTCTCAAAGTTTATTTCCTTTTTGTTTTGAGGGGAATGAAGGAACCAGTGATCATTTTACATGCTTTGTTTTGAGTGGATTTGAGGAGGTGGAAATCTTATTTTTTGTTAATTAAAAAAAATAAAAGGATAATGCTGTATTCAGTAAATGATTAGAATATGAAACGATCCTGTAAAACTGTTAGATTCTCCAGAGCTTCTCTTTGCTTAGTTATAAATGCATGACAAGAAAGGCAGGTAGAAGGAATGCTTTACTTGGCCTAGAGTAGGGTCTTTGGGGGAGTAGCTGTGATACGAGAGGCTTTAGGGCCCATTCAGTCACATTTGCACAGTGCATCTGGAACTCATTGTCTTTCAGGCTACAGTTTCTTGGCTATGTCAGCATCTTTATTGTCTGGGCTCAGAAACCCACAATGCACCAAACCAGGAAGGGAAATTGGCAGCATGCAAATGACAAAAGGATTGTAGTGTATTAGGGGTTTCTGATATTCACTAATAATATTGACTGAAGAAAATATGCCAACAGCTGATAATATAAAATAAATTATAACTACAGGGCCATTCCAGTAGTTATATAGATAGACGTTATTGCTACTTGTGTTTGATGATGTATTTCTAAACATTGGAGTACGTAGTATTAAAAATTTACTGCAGAGATCCATAGTAACAATGGCTTAAAAATGATCACTCTTATTCCACTTGGGTAACAGTCCAGGAGAGTCCAGGATGGTATGCAGCTCAGCAACATGAGGTGGCCAGGACTAGTATGATGCTCAGGGTCACAGACAGTGGTGGTTTTAAAACGTGTTTAGTTTCTTAGCTGCTTTTCCCGTAGAAAGGTTGTGGAGTCTTTGTCTTCTCGTCTTGATTCTGGTTGGATGCTTGACTCACTGTAACCAGTAGAATGAGGAGTTAGTGATGCTACATAACTTCCGAAAGTTAGGTCAGGAAAGCTGATACAGCTTCTGGCTTGTCCTCTGGAACACTTATTTTGGAGCCCTGAATTACTACAAAGGCAATTTGACTACCCTGAGGTCACTATTCTGTAAGACCAGAGTACAGGTTGCCTGTGAGTGATCTGGCTGACTGCCCCAAAGGAGCTCGCCTACAGGTAGCATCAGACACCAGACATGAAGATGCTGCCAGGTGATTCTAGCCTCCCAACTGTCAGCCATTTTTTGTGTTGGGTTTTACCAGCTGAGGCTCAGACCTTGGGGAACAGAGAAAAGATGTCCCCTTGTACTGAGTTTGGATTTCTGATCCATAGATTTCATGAGTTTAATGAAATGATGAAAACTTAACTTACATAGTTAAGTTTTGGAGTGGTTTGTTACACGTCCACATAACACAGCCACATAACAGGGTTCCTTCGGTCACGTTGCTTTGCCATTCTAGATTGTGACCACAGCGTTCTGAGATGTTTGGCCACCACGTCTGCATTCCAGACATCTGGATAGAGGAAGTACAGAGAAAGGCAGTGCCTTTCTCTCGAAGGGTACTCCCCAGAAGTAGCCCAGTTGCTTCTGCTCACATCTCTTCGGCCAGAACTTAGCCAGAGCATGGCCACATCTAACTCATGGAAGACTGGGAAACGTAGTATTTATTTCCGCTGACCATGCATCTAGCTAAAAATGAGGGCATCCATTTGTTTAAGAGAGAAGGATACATATGTTATACCTGAATAGACCTAATTCTTTACTTTGTAATTTATAAATGCTATCTATTTGTCTTCTAGGAAATTTTCTTTTTTAAAGAACTCTCAGCAGCAAGTTTGCTGGAAAACAGGTTAGTTTAGGTTAGGTTGATTAGGATTAGAATCAGCTTAATAATAATAATCCTATTTTGCAAATTGAAACAACACTGATTTAGAATGAAGTTTACTTGTCTCTCATGTAAAGGAAGTGAAACAGCAGGGGGCAGTTCAGGGCTGGCTAAACTCGGTCTCCTGAATGCTCATTAATCCCAATGCTCATAAATACCACCACTGCCAGCAACTTAAGACTCCCTTTGCCTTTACCTTGTTCCTGGGGCAGCCTTAGGGTGCTGCCTTGTGGCGCAAGATAACTGCATGAACTTTGTCCATCAGGTTGGCTTCCTAGCCAGTAGAAAGGAAGAAAGGGGGAAGAAAGGATAAGGGGCTTACCGCATGTCTTTCATAGAAAATTCCTAAAAGTGGCCGCAAGATACTTCTGCTTTGACTTCATTGACCAGAGTTTTGTCATTTGGCCACGCTTGCTGAAAGTAAAACTAGGGAGGTGTAGTTCTTTTTTTTTTTTTTTTAAAGATTTTATTTATTTATTTGAGAGAGAGAGAATGAGAGACAGAGAGCATGAGAGGGAGGAGGGTCAGAGGGAGAAGCAGACCCCCGCTGAGCAGGGAGCCCGATGTGGGACTCGATCCCGGGACTCCAGGATCATGACCTGAGCCGAAGGCAGTCGCTTAATCAGCTGAGCCACCCAGGCGCCCGGGAGGTGTAGTTCTTATTCTAGGTAACCATGTGACCCCATCAAAATCAGGATTTCTCTTACTAGGGATTATGGTGAGAGTCATCAACAGTCTCTGCTCCACACTGTGAATTTGAAAAGAACCGTTTGGTTTACCAGAACTTGGGCCACAGTAAGTGTTGCAACATAGAAAATGCACAGTGAGTTTAAGAATGTCTTGATTGATGGGCACCTGGGTAGCTCAGTTGTTTAAGCGACTGCCTTAGGCTCGGGTCATGATCCTGGAGTCCTGGGGTCGAGTCCCACATCGGGCTCCCTGCTCGGCAGGGGGTCTGCTTCTCCCTCTGACCCTTCCCCCCTCTCATGCTCTCTCTATCTCATTCTCTCTCAAATAAATAAATAAAATCTTTAAAAAAAAAAAGAATGTCTTGATTGACATCTGTGTTCACATACAACTTTCAGCCATTCCTTCCTTATTATTATAAACACTTGGGTTTATAGGGACATCTGATGTTTATTAGCAGACTGCACATGGCCGTGTACAGACGGTCACTGTTTTAGCTTAAATTCTTAAAGCCTTTCCTGAAAAAGAACAATCACATTTCTAGTGTAGACATAACAGGGTTCTCTGTCATCGTTTTTTGGGAGTCCAAATTGCATTGTTTGAAGTTCCACTTTTCTAAAGGTGTAGGTACCCCCCCCCCCCGACCAAAAGGGGATTTTTCCCTCTTTGTTTTAGAATTGAAATAGTCTGAATATTTTATCCATTTCTTGTACAAGACCAAACTAGTTGTGAGGCAGTGATTCATCCCCGTACCACATACAGTTGCTTATAGAGCTTTTGTCTTGATACCTCTCTTGAGAAAGTACCGTGACTCTTTGTTGTGCTCTGTATAAAGCAGCTTTTCTGCCCTGTTGTGGTAGGGTTGAAAGATGTGATTCATGATTAAGCTTGGAAATGAAAAGATTTTCTTTAATTTTGTAACTGCTTTGGGTGTCTTCGTGAGTTCTACGTTTTCTGATTAGTTGAGAAAATTACTAGAGTTGACTCTGTTTTAAAGCTTAGTCTGATGTGGTAATTTGAACAGTCTTTCTGTTGTTCTGACTCTCCTGGATAAAAATGCTTAGTCCTGGTAGGTAGCCTCCTTCCCTTCTTTTTCTCTGGGCATCTAGAGCTAGAGATGTGGCTTCTGCAACCTTACTTTTCTGGGGAAACAAGATACTCTCACTTACTAGCGTTCTTTATCTTCCTTTTTAGTACCTCTGCCGCCTGGGTGATGCCTCTTTCCTCCCTGATACCTGGCACCACTGATTCCCAAGTCAGCAGCCAGTCAACGTGGGGCCCATTCTTGTGGCTTAGGCCATGCCCAGCATTTGCTTGACTTCACCTTGGTTCTGCTGGTGCTACAAACTGTCTGAAGTCTGGCTGGGAAGCTCAGTTGTTCCTGGCTCACATGATTTGCTCTCCAGCCCTTGCTGCAGAGACCTTTCTCCTTGCTAGGATGATCCCTCTGGCCAGTGCCCCAGCCAGACTCACAGGGACTTCTCTGTCTGGTCTGTTCCAAGTAGAACCAAGCATGGCCCCCTTCACAGGGCACCCAATGCAGAACAGGGCCGAGAGCCCCCTCTGCCTTCCACATCACTCCTGACTGAACACACCTCTTTCTCTCAGGGCCAAAGCCTGGGCAGTAGAAATTGGTCCAACCTCTTGACTTTCTCTCTCTCCCACAATATACCTGTTTCATATCCCACATATCCCTGTATCATAACGTTCCTTTTAGCTAGTCCTGTGGCTTTGCTGTTACAGTTGGAAGGCGGCTATCTTTTCCATGCTGGAGGAGAATTCTGTGAGGTCCATTATTAAAAGGAGGTAGGGATGGGGGAAAGGAATAAAGCGGTTTGTCAAACTCTCTTTAGATAAATCTGTGGCATGGCTAACAAAGTTATATAGTGTTGCTGAATGATCCTATTTTGCAAGTCAGAAGTGATTATTCATTTTTTTTTGGTAGCATTTCTGTAATCTTTTTTTTTCTTAGGCTGATGAACACATTACGTCAAAAGGCAAAAGAGGACGTATGGGTAATTACATCATTTTTGAAATGTTATCCTACTACGCTTGCTTTTAAGGTGTGTGAAAATTTTAGTCTTCTTAAATTTGACATCATTGAAATCAGTCTCTTTGCTGGTAGTGTTTAGCAGGAATATGGGACTTTGTAATCCAAAGACCTGTGTTCAAGTCCTAGTTACCAGCTAAGTGATGTTGGATAAATCACTCTCATCTACTAGTGCCTTAGGTTTTTCATCTTTAAATGTGAATAAGTATCTACCTCACAAATATATGTGAAATAAAGTGGGATGATTATGTGAAAGCACTCTGCAGACTCTGGAATGCAGTGTGATTTTATGAATACTGGTTTCCTCATCTCACGTTATGCCCATTCCCATTTGTGTACTTCTGCAGCTCCTCCTCCAAGTCCACAAGTCTGTCATGAGTACTCAAGATGACCCTGGTCCTGCTGCTCTCCGTTCCCATTCTACATGTGGTCAATAAAGCTTCCCATTTTGTGTCAAATATCTATTTTTTGTTTTATTTCCTCTGTTAAATTTAAATGATTTTTTTTTTTAAAGACTTATCCATTTATTTTAGAGAGAGAATGAGAGAACAAGCAGGGGGGTCAGAGGGAGAGGGAGAGAGAATCTCAAGCAGGCTCTGAACTCAGCGCGGAGCCTGATATGGGGCTCGATCTCACAACCCTGAGATCACCACCTGAGCGGAAACCAAGAGTCAGACACCCAGCTGACTGGGGCCACGCAGGCGCCACAGATTTGAGATGCTTTGATGGCAGAAGCTATATTTCATATACTTCTATCATACCCCACAATATCCCTATATCATGTGTTTCTTTTAGCAGTTCTCTCTACTTATATATTTCATGCACTTTGGGGTATTTTCTATAGCCCTGGGGCACACTTTGGAGCTGAAAAAGATAAGCATTGGTTGGCATTACTATAAGCCAGTAAAATAGAAAAGATAATCCAATTATATGTACTTTATAATCTTATTTCCTGTCTGATCCATTTCTGATTCTGGAAAGTACCTAACCTCTGAATAACTTGTAATTAGCTGAAATTATCCAGGACTTATGAAATAAAGAACATGTGTTTTAATTTATTTAAATACTTTATCCATGTGTAGTTTGACTGTTAGAAAATATTTTTAAGTCTTAGAAATTTTTCTTGGAACTATGATGTCATTTCTTTTATTACACTAAAATATTCATGTCTCAGTTTGTTTGAATCCAGAACTAATATATGTGACATTTTGATTTTGGTGAACAAGGGCTGTATCTTCAGTTACTATAATTAAGCCATCTCAGATTTCACATACAGTTAGTTAATAAATATTCATGAGGCTGCCAGGAGAGTGCAACCAGTGATAAAGGAGATGGTCTGTATTCAGAATCCACTGAGCACACTTATTCTCAAGGCCCTCTGGTAGATGACATGTTAAAGTAAATTAAGTCTGGATCTCTCAGTTAAGAGCACAGACTCTAAAAGGAATGTGTTGTGCAAACCCCATCCGCAGAAATAGAATTAAAAAAAAATTGTGCAAAGTCAGATAAAAATTTACCTTTAATATGAATGTCAGTGTATTTTGCTTACACATTTTAAAAGGTCATCTGCAAAAAAGTTACATATTTCTTCTGCTGAATTAATTTCCTTTAAAAAGTTTCACTTCATAAAAGTTGTTATGCTTGCTTCCACCAGAGGTCAGTTGGAGTGGGCCCATATCACCATGTAATACTTTAGTTTCTTTCTCATCCCCATTGCTGAAAGAAAGTCTTCTTTCTTTTATAATGGAAAATTTCATTATCAGTAGTATTAAGTGGACTTCTGAAATGGTTCATGTAAACAGAAAGTTCTGTTTTAAGAAGCATTACTATCGGGCGCCTGGGTGGCTCAGTCGGTTAAGCAACTGCCTTCGGCTCAGGTCATGATCCTGGAGTCCCTGGATCGAGTCCCGCATCGGGCTCCCTGCTCGGCAGGGAGTTTGCTTCTCCCTCAGACCCTCCCCCCTCTCATGTGCTCTCTCTCAGTCTCTCTCTCTCAAATAAATAAATAAGATCTTTAAAAAAAAAAAAAGAAGCATTACTATCTTCTTTGCCCCTGGGTGCATTTTGGAGCTATGGGCATATAACGGGCTGTGCTATGGCATCATTACCATAACTGGATAATCAAACTTTTATTTTTAGGGTAGCAATAACCTATGGACATGTATCTAGTTGAACGTGTGGCCATGACACATGTTCTGTTACTTCCATACCTCATTTTGTTAGCTTGTGCTCACTCTTTTCATACCTCCCTTACAAATCTTCTCCTGAGAAAATTGGTTAACTTAATTCAAAAATGGGTTACTTCAGAGAGACCTGCGTGGTGCAGTCGGTTGGGCATCTGACTCTTAGTTTCGGCTCAGGTCATGATTTCAGGGTTGTGAGATCGGGCTCCATGCTTAGCACAGAGCCTGCCTGATTCTTTCCCTCTCCCTTTGCCCCTCCAGCTCATGCTCACTCTTTCTAAAATAAATAAATAAATCGAGGCGCCTGGGTGGCTCAGTCGTTAAGCGTCTGCCTTCGGCTCGGGTCATGATCCCAGGGTTCTGGGATCGAGCCCCGCATCGGGCTCCCTGCTCAGTGGGGAGACTGCTTCTCCCTCTCCCACTCCCCCTGCTTGTGTTCCTGCTCTCGCTCTCTCTCTGTCAAATTAATAAATAAAATCTTTGAAAAAAAAATAAATCTTTAAAAACAAAACAAAAAAAGGGTTACCGGAGATCTCCTTGAAAAATCTGCAGTCACTGAAGTAGTGTGATTAACGGAAACCATCAAGAATGGTTCTGATGTTGCCATCACTTAGATTCCAGTAAATGTTTGAGATGAGCGCATTTAAATCCATCAAACAGCATTACGAGGAGCTACCATTTTATGCTGAGCATTCTCTTAGTTGCATAACTTTCATTTTTTTTTTCCAGCCTCTCTACAAGTCTTTGAAATGGCTGGTATTTTCTCCATTTTACAGATGAAGAAAATAAATCTTAAGGAGTTTTACTAACTTGCTCCTGCCCACAGAGTTAATACAACAGTGGGGATTTGAGGCCAGGTCTTTCTGCCTTCAAAGTTGGTGTGCTCTGAATTGCCTCAGTGAAGTTGTAAGCTAAACACTTCTGTGTAGCCATTTCAGAGTTCTGTTTCCTCTTCTCTATGGCATTGCTGATGGAGTCCCCCATTCCTTAGCATGGCATATCTCTACAGACCTTTTATTTGGCCTAACCACCCATAATTCTTCTGTATGCCTTGTCCATGCCTAGTCACCTTTAATTCTCTCCTAACTTTGCCTTCTTTCCCTTATCTATTTTCTTTGCATACCCTATTCATTCTTTCCTTATACTCTCCACCTTTCCTTCCCCCACACTAAAAACACACACAAATATAAATCAAAGAAATGAAACAAAACATTAAGCTCAGTTTTACTCATAGTAGCATAAATTGCTTATTATATCGGAAAGTGTCCAACAACCATCAGCAGGTGAATGAATAAACATCCAGTTAATGAAATACCTCTCAGTAATCACAAGGAACGAATCATTGATCCATGCCACAACATGGAGGAATCTAAAAAATAAATGCTGTGAGAAAGAAGCTAGACTCAAATAGAATCTATTTTAAGTGAAATTTTAGAATAAGCAAAACTAATCGGTAGTGATAGAAATCAGATTGGTTGGGTGGGGGGATGTGAGGATGGATCGCAGAGGACCACAAGGCGGCTGGAAATGTTATATAACTTGTTTTGGGTGCTGGGTATAGGATGCAAACAACTCTCAAAACTCTTTGAAGTGAACAGTTTGCGTTTACTTGTTTTATTTTGTTAGTTAAAACTCGATTAAAAAAAAAATCGGCTAAGCTCCTTTCGCACAGTTCTGTCATAGCTTATCACGAAGTTTTGCAGTTTGGCTTCACAGTCTCTTCCCCACTGGACTGAGGCAAGCTGTATGACTCATGCCATTTTGTATTTGCCCGTGTTTAGCACTCGCCTGGCACTTAGTTGGTTCTCAAGAGATGCTTGTTGAATTAATGGACTGCTACATTCTGAAAAAGCCTGGCTCATTTAAAAAAAAAAAAAAAAGATTGGGTTTAGAAATAGTAGGGGCCCCACTGAGATGTTTAATACGTAGGGGCATGTAAATCTAAGCTTTTTAGGAGATACAATTCAAGCCATTACTAATTTAGTTACAGAGATTTGTATATTTAAAAAAATGGAGATTGAATGGGTATATTTTTAGTGCTTTGAGTCTTTTAGTCATTAGCTAACAGGTGATGTCTGAAGTTTATTTTATTTTTTAAGACTTATTTATTTATTTGAGAGAGAGAGAGTATGAGCGAGCAGGGGAGGAGCAGAGAGAGAGGGACAAACAGACTCCATGCTAAGCACAGAGCCAGACTCCGGGCTCGATCCCAAGGACCCCGGGATCATGACCTGAGCCGAAATCAAGAGTCAGACGTGCAACAGCTGAGCCACCCAGGTGTCCCTGAAGTTTAAACTAACAGTTTCTCAATGCTCTCCCTCCACCTTTTCTTTTGGAATAAGTTCGGACTGGAGCAGATCCCTGAGTCACACCTCTGGCCTTAGGGGCCTTGCAAATACTTCATTATTGAAATAAATTTTAGTTTACGAAGTTCATTTAAATAGCCAGGCATAGGTTGCTGAATGCTCAGTTGGTTTATAGCTAATGGGCCAATGGTGGTGCCCTGTTCTCTGAGGGAACTTGGTAGCTTTTCTCTTGGGGAGAATTCCTCAGTATTTTAAATGCTGCCTGAGTCTGGTAGTTCAGAATTAGCTACCCGTGTTCAAAATGACACCAGTAGCAGTCAGGAAAGGTAGGGCATAAGACATTTAAAAAAATTTTTGTACAAATTGGGAGGGGTTTTAAAAACAAAAATCTCACAAGAATGCCTGCTGTGCAACCCACCCTTTCAATTGTAAAAAAAATTATAAATATTTCTTGAAAAAAAATTAGAAGAAAATATTGATGTTGTAATAGGTATTTTCATGTCACTGAAACTTTTTTATTATGTTAATCACCATACCTTACATCATTAGTTTTTGATGTAGTGTTCCATGATTCATTGTTTGTGCATAACTTACCCAGTGCTCCATGCAGAACGTGCCCTCCTCAATACCCATCACTAGGCTAACCCATTCCCCCCCCCCCCGCCCCTCTAGAGCCCTCAGTTTGTTTCTCAGAGTCCATGGTCTCTCATGGTTCATCTCCCCCTCTGATTCCCCCCCTTCATTTCTCCCTTCCTGCTATCTTCTTTTTTTTTTTTTTAACATAT